GTACTTGGTATCATAGTTCTTTTGACTGCCTGTCATACGTTTATCGATTTTTCATTGGACAATTTGGGGAACTGAGATTGCGTAATACATGGTGCTGGGCCGAAACGATATTTAGTAACCATATTTAAAATAAAATACCATAATTAGAATGTAATGATGCAACTGCTGTCAAAAATTAGTATTTTTTTGGTGTTTTTTAAGCCAAATTGGATAATGCAAACAACGATACCATGTTTATGCTGTCGTCTTAAGTTAATTAGTACTCAAGAATAAATCCTTCCTGTCTGCTATAAACGCGATACGTATGTTCCCTCATAATTATTCGGATACAGACGCACCTATAGTTAAGCCTTAAAATGAGTAATCGGCAGTAATACAAAGTTTAGTTAAAAGTCACGGGGAAAAAAGAGAATATGCTTCACATTGCACAAGACCCACGTTACTGAATCGCAAAGGCTATCAGCCTTCTCTGATAACTTGACCTACACGAAAGATTTAATAGTTTTATAAACTCTATAAGGCAAGCCGACGTAAACCTGTCAACGTGACCCTTAATTTCAGCTGTATGAAATAACATACGTGTATGCACGTAAGCTAAAATGAAGTTAACTTTGCTATCTGAATTAAAGGGGCGTCTCTACACTCTCCTTTTCAGTTCTCCTCGGAACCTGCTCGGTTTACAGTACAGGTGAGCAACACCACTAGCTCGATTTATCGCATTGACTTAGTAAACAACTAATCTGATAATATTAAGTAAATTAAAAATTACTCTATCCCTAACAACAAACTAAAGGTGCATTAGGACTGCCAGCCTGGCTTGAAAAATTTTATGCATGAATAAGCATTTACATGTATAAGTCGCACAGCTATTACCTCAAAAGACCTAATACATCCAGTGCTGCGGACGTGTGTCACTAAATACTGCAGCACTTGTAATACCCTACTGTTAGCTATTTCCGTGTGAACAAAAACTGCGTATTCCATTGACTTATGCCACGAAGGCGATGATAAATAATGTGCCAAAATATCTTCACTCTTTGTACTGCATCATACGTGTGAGTCGATGGACCTCTGCCATGCTTTCTGATAATTTATTGTGGATGATCAAGTATAATATATTAATCAGCATTAGCGAGATAAATAAGTAGTATATGCATATGTGGAAGGTAATGCAATAAGGAAACAAGTGTAAGCCGAGTGAATGATTGCGAAAATTTAAGTAAGAATCATATATTATCAGGAGCTAAATTCTGGACTTCTAGACATTAACTGTCACAGGTTATTTATCGTATAGCATTCAAGCAATGCACCAACATGCACCAATAAAATCCTAATTGTTGGTCTGTTTCTTATCCAGATCTCCCAGTACCACCTGCTGCCGTGACAGCTGAGACAACGGGAAAGCCTAAAACTGGTAAGCCAACTGGCTATTCTTAAGCCGCTGCAAAGTAGAAATTTCCAGCTTACAAGCTGTGGTCCGGAAAGACTGTCTGTCTTAAGCTGACCCTTGGAAAAACATTTGTTTAGAAATAGCACGAAACTTCTAGTAGTCTGGTCCCGGCTAATTCCATTCCCTAAGATGTTGATATATCTAAACAGAATTATCTTATTGTAACTTACAGAGGCTAAAGTTTAAAGGATATCTAAATACTGCCTGAAATCAACGTACAATAGGTTGCATGTAGAAAAATGATGATTAATTGTGTGCATATTTTGCAGATGACAAATCAACTCATGAGGTCGTGACATCTGAGACAACGGGGAGCCCCAACCCCACAACAGAGGAAAAGACAACGCATGCTGCTGGTACATCTGAGACAACGGCGAACCCCACAACAGAGGAAAAGACAACGCATGCTGTCGGTACATCCGAGAAAACGGAGAACCCCAACCCCACAACAGAGGAAAAGAAAACGCATGCTGCAGGTACATCCGAAACTACGGGGAACCCCAGCCCCACAACAGAGGAAAAGACAACACATGCTGCCGGTACATCTGAGACAACGGCGAACCCCACAACAGAAGAAAAGACAACACATGCTGCTGGTACATCCGAGCCAACGGGAAACCCCACAACAGAGGAAAAGACAACGCATGCTGCCGGTACATCCGAGACAACGGAGAACCCCAACCCTACAACAGAGGAAAAGACAACGCATGCTGCCGGAACACCCGAGAAGCCTTCAACTGGTAGGCACACGTGCCTTCTTTATGCCGCTTCAAAATTTAAAATGTCGGTTTAATGATTCTTACCTTGAAAAAGCCGCTTATCTGACCTTTATACTTATAGTATGTGTTTATCAATATTCATCGTTCTTTTTCCAGGTGCCCCCATTTCGACTGAGCCGACCACTGCTCCTGGCGATGTAACAACTTCCGGTGTCAATATTTTGCTCTTCAGCTCTAATCTATATCTAATTTTCTGTGTTCTCCATGGACTTTCTTATCTGATATGATGCATTTGATACTGCCATCAAACTACTCACAATCAGAATAATAAACCTGTACAATGCTCTCGCATAGTTTCTTCTCATTTTTTTACTTATAACATCCGTCGTGATAAGAACAATCGTCACATAGGGTCACCATAGGAATAATGGCTACATTGTGTTGACTAGAAAAATAACGGAGGTAATGTGGCCGACGTTGATGTGGTTCTATTTAAACTCTACACCCTACATTTGTGTATCCTAACTGACACAATTCCATACCTCATACTCGAAGCGTCCGATTATTCACTTCCTACGCCACACAATAAGGCATCAAAGAGTAAAAGTGGTTTTGACAAGGTCTGCCGTATTTTCAACAGGGGCGTGGAATTCCGCCAGGTTTTGTTTATCGTGCTATTAGAATTGTGCCGTACCTAACACACACTGCACATCTTCTGATCCCTGTTTGCAATGGTAAACGCCTATCGCCTTTTGACGGTCAGCGAGCCAGGTTTACTTTCCGCACAACCACTCTCTATGCCAGCTGTGAGGAGTTAGTTAGGCCGTCAGTTGGCAACTTTTTCAAGCCGCATGTTTTTACGATGCTAGCGCATACGTAAATTACAACATCGTGTTCATCAACACCGGAAGAGGTAGATGAAGCAAGTGCTGGGGCCAAATTCTATTTATGCGGACGTTTCGAAAACATGCCCGTTACCATTGTCAGAGCGTTGGGCTTCCTCTTACACTGGCCTCGAATTAGTGCGCCTCGCCGTAAGCCTTAAGTTGTAGCCCTGCTCGATGCAAGTGCGTTCGTTCACCCATTGGTTGGCTACATCCCCTCCACTGTCATTGGCGTTGCGTTAGCATGGCGGTCGGCTTCCCCCTCGTTCGGAGCACTCTCTGTCTCGGCATATCTGGACTAATTGCCGAAGCCGCTTTGCAGACGCTAGAGCAGGTGATATTCAACTATCAGAACCCCCCAAATTCTGGCCTACATATGTTGACGACACATTTGCCGTAATAAAACGAAGCGACGTTTCGTCTTTAAAGATACTACTTTGCTCCATCTTTCCGGACATACAGTTCACGATGGAAGAGGAGGTCAATTACCCTTCCTCGACGTTCTAGTCCCCGGGGTTGGTGGTCAGGAAGATAAGAACGACCGTGTACTGTAAGGAGACTAACATTATGCGACTCCTTTATTGCGGAAATAACCATCCCGTCGGTCACAGTTGATTGACAGTTGTCTTTCTTCTGCCATAAACATTGCGGTCAACAGCCGTCCTCAATCGGGAACTGGAAGTTCTCCAGTTTTATTATCTTTCGCAATAAAATTTAAAGATCCCTTTTAAAAAATCTAATCACCACCACTATATGTCTCTGTAGTATTAAGGTAAGCACGAAATGAAACAAAACTAAAACTAAACTAAACCTCAGCGTCATCTATTTGCACAAATTGGTGGTCTATTTTTTAATTTTACTCCTAGAGCGATTGTTTAAATTTTATTTTGGGCAACATTATTTGGCAGATAAATATATAGATTGTGTATTTGGGTATTGGTTCCCAGAAGTCACTATCGCCACAACTGAAATAAAAAATAAAAAAAGAAATTATGTGCAATCACTTGAGCTTACTGCCGACAAGGTCGCAGATGGACGAGCATCAGCAGACATTTAAACATATTGGTAAAGAGGACACATGATCGAACACTGAAACTGTTCGTATTTTATTCTGAGCTTTCTGACTCTTACCGGAGTCCATCGGCAGAAATGGGAAGCAGCAACACACGAGTGACTGTTTATAGCCTGTGAACAAACTTTTAAAATTTGAACGTGTTAACAGCGATAACTGTTAGGTTTGGACGCTTAATGGCCACGTCACCACCGAAAATGGGGCGATTATGGAGGAAATGGGACCAATTAATTATGACGAGCATCTAGCTGTAATCGTATGTGAAAGCGCAAGGCTGAATACGCCGGCGCCAGTCCGACACATATGTTGACATAATTTTCGTCCTTTGACCAGGCTTCGATAAATTCTCTGCTCGTCTTGTATCCCGCGGTGGGAGTACCTTGACGGCAACGAAATTGAACTCATGGCCTGGCTCGTAGCTGCAACTTGTGGTAATTCGTCGCCTCGCCGCAAGGCCAACTTGTGCTAATGTATGCGAAATCTGTGCATGTGTTCGGTTTGGCTTAAGCTGTCCCAGTAATTACAAAAGCCAAACTGATCGCTGGCCTTGTTTGGAACGATTCAGTACATGGAAGGTTTAAGACGTTGCCTTTGAAGACCCCACGCAAAAATTAACACAAATATTCAATTTTAAATGGACACGTTACTATAAAATAGGAATTAACATAGATATATTGCCGAGTTATTTTTTACATAGTCATTCTAGAACAAGCATGAGCTATATCAAAACCTAGATAAACGCGTTATCTGTGGGTATGAGTTAAGTGTCGGTATGTTGCAATGTAGGTTTTTATTTCCAGATAAACACTTGAACAGGGGTCCGTGGGGCATCGGTGAAAAGCGAGGTGATGGTTTGCACTAAATCAGTGAGGGTGGCTTTCGAACGTTGGCAGCAATTGTCAGTACGCACTTGCACTTTAGCCGGTACCCTAGGCTGATTGCCCTTTTAACCCTCATGTGATCCTATATGTACTCCTCTGCCAAATAATTGCACCACTTCGATTCCGCTTGTCGTTTTCCAGCTTGATAGAATATAGCATATACGAAATTGAGATTGGCGCTGCTGACAGGCCGGAAGCAACAATCCGCAGAAAAATTATGCGAACTAAACAGCCAGGACCCGTTAGCCAAAAGTCCGGTGTCATTTACCGCATCGACTGCCATTGTGGTCAAGCCACTTATGTTGGTAAGACCGGCAAACGTGTTCGCACGAGAATGCACCATCACGGATAGGCCGTGCGACGGAATGATAAGCTTTCTTTGGTAGCCGCTCACGCATCTATGTCAAGGCACGAATTCGATTTCGAACACGTGCGAAAACTGCGTCAGTCGGACCGAATCTTACGCCTCATGCAGAAGGCACGCACTCGCACGCGGATTCAATGATTAGGCATGTCGATCTTCGTGATGCCTATGTCGCGTTTCGCGAAAAAAATCGATATCAGAGCTGAAGGTCATTCCCGGCAGATTTGAGCTAAATACGCGGTGAGCTGTACACTTTTATTCCTGGACAATGAGCTCGCGTGAGATTTTGAGACGTCGGGCAAATAAAATACTGATCCCAGAGAACGTCTTTCCACCTTCTATTCAATTACCTGGCCTCCTATATTTTCGACTATTCATAATACGAATAGCTGTAATAAAACAATTTTTCTTCAGCAGTCGGTGTGGCAAACATATATTTTTGTTTATTAATAATTAGGCCTATAAACATGCATACGGAACGCAAC